ACTGATACCATATTCAGACAGCTAAATTTCATTAATTTCAGAAAAATGAAATCAATTTAATTTCGAAAGTGTTTATATTGCCCCAAATTAAGGAAATCATATATTGTTTGTTTACAAATTGAATATTAAAAATTACATGCTCCAAACACCATTTGTACCATTTTAAAAGTTGATTATTATAACTATAAAGGATGTCATTCAGAAGTTTTATTAGCTCTAGTAGATTTCAGGTATGAGAATTATTATTTTTCACTCTATATTAATTTAGGAAGTGTGCGAGTTAGGCTAAATTGCGTTCTAAATGAGGGAAATTCTAAGTTGTGCCGATAATGTAGTGATGTGTTAATACGTGTTGATAAATGGCTGAATGTGTGCAGTGCAAAAAATTCCAAAAAATCTCCCATTTGGTTTAGCATCAACTTAGCCTAACTTGCACACGTCCTTAGATTCCGCTTCCAAGGTAATCAAGTTAACGTTTTGCCGCAGTTACGCAGTTGCAGAGAGTATGTTTTGATGTTTCCTTTTTCTCATGACAAAGTCAAAAGGAATCACTTTCTACCACACCTAAATTCTTTATGTGATAGTTGAGTCTACAGTGTCCCGTTAAAAGTTCAGTTTAAATTATAATATCGTTTCTTCTAAGGTTAATTTAACGTCAACTTTGATGTGTTCAGGATCAATAAATCTTTTTGACTGCCGCATGCCTGTTTGTGCTCTCCAGTGTTCAAGTACATTTTATTTCTCCCATTGGTCCTTTCTGGACCAATGAAAGGAGTAAATTCAGCCTTCTTTGGAAGGTAGTCTGCTATTTCATTGCTTTCATGCCCTTTATGTCCTGGTATCCATATAAGAGTAACATAGTTCCTCTATGCTAAGTATTGGGATGTTGAAAGCATTCCCAGACCAACTTTGATTGAAATGAAGAGTTTGCTAAGGATTTTGGAACTGCTTGACTGTCCAAAAGAAAGCATATTTTGGTACCTCGGGTAGGCACTCTCTCACTCATAGCTCAGAGGCATGAACCTCTGCCTGAAAAATGGAAGCGATTTGTGATTGCTCTACGGAATTTTAATCCTATAATTCTTGCTCCTGCACTGCCATCTTCCATTTTGGATCCCTCAGTGTACCATAATTGTGAGTCCTGTTTTTCAAATTTCAAAATAATAATAATCAAGAAAACGTAAATACTAAAATTTCTATAGTTATCTATATAAATTCTAGACTCAATCAAAAATAAGCTCTACAGATAAGGTCTATAGCCTTACATCTAATATGAAAAACTGTGAGTATTCTTGCTTTTCCATAGAGATAACGGAACCATACAACATGAATCTAATGATACATCGTGCAATTCATGTTAGACCAAACATTTTGGAGTAGAAGTAATTTTTTCATTCCAAAAATACTTCTTTACTTCTTCACTCAATATATGTAATCCATTATTTTTGCAATATCTAAAACAATTTCAAATAATAATATTCGTCATGAACTTAAAATTAAGGATTTGTTTTTTTATTGAATATGATCCATTAAAAAAATGTTTATTTCTTTTGCAATAGGTGGAAAGAATAAAAGACTTCTATCTATTTGAGCAATTCCTTATGAATTAAGAAATAGTCCAAAATATCCAATTTCTTCCAGAAATCAAAAGCAGAACCGAGAGGCTATATATTAAGTCACCTTAATATATATCAAGCTGAATTCATATAACTCATAGGGCATGGGCAACAAGTCAGAAAGTGAGAAGATAGTCTTACTTATGATAATATTAGTTGGGATAACAATAGTTTGAACATCATTTAAACTGAGGGTCGATTGAATTAATGATAGACTCTACAGACTTAATCATAATGACATGGCTTGAAAAGTGGAATCCAAAAGGAAGTATTTTTAACCTGATTATGATAGGTACAAACAGTGTATTTGGTTTCTTTCTAAAGAAAACATGAGTGTTGAGTTGTCAGAGATGATTGAATATCTCCAGATTACACTAAATAAACATCTTAACTGAAACACTTACCTGAAAAACAAATTTGGCGAAGCTACTTATGTTATGTGGAATTATAGAAATATCTGCGGCAGAATCTGGAGCCTTAATCCATCCCATGATTCTCTTCTAACTTTACTGCACAATTGTTCGATCTGTTGTATCTTATCTTTATTCTGCTAAACTTTTTAATGCAAGTCTTAATAACTACTAGGAGCGTTTACATACAAAAAGGGCTAGTTTTAATACTAAGGAACGTACTATACATACTTATACCACAAAAACAATAAAATCTAGAGTGGATCTTACTGCTCTACATCTCTTTATTAACAAGACAGCGGATATGCACTTAAATCCTAACAATAAAAATTCTAATTATAGATTAGTTTCTGACATAGAGATCTACGTTAGGACAAATCGCATGAATATATTCGAAATCCTGATTTTCGATCGTAATTCAAACGAAAAAATGAAACTGTTAATCTAAAACCAAAGGTCATACGTGGAACAATGGAGAATAAGTTGATGTAGAAGTGTTCGGCCACAACACCACAATCGCGGTCGCACTAATTGCATGGTCCACTATCCATCGTGATAAAAATGTTCAGTTCAGTACGGTACAGAAGGGTTCGTGAGAATTTTTTTTATTTCACGGAAAACGTTTCTGACTTTAGCAATACACACTAGGATATTCTGGATATGGGAATTATTTTATTATAGTGATTATGAAAATAAGTTTAGCTTTAGCCTTATCCTACCGATATTCGGTAAAGCTATATATTCTTCTATTTAATTCTTTTCCAGTGAAATAAAAACTTTAAATTGTAAAACAGCTGATTATGGTTTTTCAAGTTTTCCGTTACAAAAAAACAAAAAACGAATACCGAATACCGAAAAAATTATCAGATTAGTAATACCTCAGCAATTCCTCCACTAGGTAATATTAGGTGCTTTCAGCAGCTCGCAAGTGTGACAAAAAGAGCAAGTTGCTGGCCTATAGTTGCTTAAAAATACGCAAAACAACAACACTAGTTCCTCTGTCTAAACACCTACTTGTGAAATGGCCAAATACTTTGACTACTAAAGAAAAAGTGTTACCAAAGCAATAAGCGAAATTGAAAATCACTTTAAATTTTTTAATTTATTAGTTGCATAAATATTCTAAACTAGGCCTTTTCTTTTGTAAGCAAATCGGAAAAGAACAAATAAAATAAGCATTACTTTCGATGGCAACTTTGAACAAAATAAAGATATTAAGATTTATAGTTAAAATTTCGGAAATGAATAATAATTCTTCGCAATTATTGGTAAAAACATTTTTTTTGCATGATTGTAAATAAAATATTATTGTTCATGCCTTTTAACAGTAAAACAATAAATAGAAAAAATGACGTATTTGTTATGAACAATGACGACACAAAATACGGAGAATTAACGAAATCATTCGTTGACAGCTAACTGGAAATTTCGTAGGTACTTCCAAAAATCGTTCACAATAGATGAATTTTTAGTGTTGGCAACGTAGCGAAAAAGATTGGACTAAATAACTTGTTTTTTACCACACAACTTGTTTTTTACCATACTTAGAAGCTGGCGAATGCTCCCAATATTAGGCGTTTTCGATGGATTGAAAGTATGGCAAAAAACATCAAATTGTTGGCTAATACTGGCCGAAATCTACGCAAAACAACACTATTTTTTCTATCTAAAGCATGATATAGACGATTAAATTTGTTTGCAAACAAGGTTTGCTGGCTATCAAATTGCATCGTCTATAGTCAAGTTTGCAAACCAAAATTTGGTTTGCAAACTAGTTTGCAGTGAAATTAAAATTTTTCAATTATTTGTTAAGTTTGCAAACATGTTTACTTGTGTATATCGAAGTTTGCAAACTTCTCATAATTTAAGAATTTTGGTGAGCGTCGGACAAGCAAAGATTACAGAAAAAAATTATTAATTCTTGGTAAAAAGAAAAATAAATGAAAAATAATTAAAAAATTGCTAGACATTAGACAATTATTGAAGAAGTTTATATATTTTAAAAATTATTTTGTGCTAAAAACATTTTTATAGTAAGCTTTAATATTTAAACCATTATTATATGAATAAAAATTTTAAAATGTAACATATTAAAAAATTGAAACAAAAATAATTTTAGTTTAAAAAATGAAATAAATAACAGGTTGCTATGATCATCACCTCAATTTCTTCAGTTTCAATTATTGTTTTGCACTCTGTACTTACTCCGCTGTTGATATGAACGCTGTAGAAAATAAATAAAAATGAAGTTTGCCAACCTTGTTTCAAAGTGTATAGCAAAACGCATATTCGGTTTGCAAATTTGGTTTGCAAACAAATTTCATCGTCTATATCATGCTTAAGCTGGTAGTTATATACTAGCGACACATTTCGGCCAATAAAGAAAAAACTGTTACCAACACAATATTCAAACTATACTGAACCTTCATTGGAAATTCCAACGAATATTGCAATCATATGTAAACAAAAATTCAAACAAAATACAAAAATTTCATAAATTTGAAAATTAGGAAAAAAGTAAAAATTTTAGTGTATTATTTTAAATTTTCCAACATTTTTATCTTTCCTTTTAATTCTGTATTCGTATTAATTTTCAATTTATATTAATTATTTGTTTTTATACAAAATGTAATTTGCTTGTATTATGTGTACATATGCACAATTTGCTGTTTGCCACAACATAACACTCGACAGATTGCAACAGTGATGCCAATATCGCCTTTGACGAATATAAGCCAACATGCATTTTTTGACACACTTTCGAACCACCGAAAACGCCTACTATAATTATAATAAGCAAGAACCTTCTAGTGATTTCTATTCTAAAAAACTATTCATATGGAAATAAATTAATTTATAATATTCTCTTTATATTATTATATTTTTATATTTCAATCGAGTTACCATTGCTTATTTTAAAATTTACCAGAAATAAATTTCATTTAGTTTTAATAACAAATTTTTTGATACGTTTCAAATCGTTTTAAAAAATCGTTCTCGTTATTTCAAATTTCTGTTGACTATAAAAGCACTTGAAAAATTTTACTGAGGTGGCATCATTAAATAAAAATTTAACGAAACTGTGTTAACAGGAGTGCCAACAAAAATTATTAAACAACTTGAGTTACAAATGGTATGCTCATATTGCGTGCCTAATCTTTTGTGTTGAAAATAGTTTTTTTAACGAAAATAGCAAATTATTTTTCGTAAATAAAAACTTATAAACAAAAATTATACAAAATGCCAAACCGTGGCGGGTATCGTTCAAATACCAATGAAACCAATCGTTTCCATAGCTTTTTAAATCGTAGCAATGGTAAGTGTCGAAATTGTGAAATATATGTGTGTTTATTTTTTTTAATTTGCAATACAATTTATGCATTCTTTTTCATGAACAGAACATGATAATCGTGGCAATAACAAGGATTCCACTAAAGGTATACGCCGTGTCCGTTTCAAGCACAATCGTAAGAATGAAATTTCTGAACATGCTGCACATGCACGCTTGGAAGAGGATGATACCATGAGTTTCGAATTATCGAAGGTTTTTATAAACTAAATTACATTTTTAAAAACTTATATTAATAAATAAAATTTTAGTATGGTGGAGGATTCCGTCGTAAAGGTTCACCAGTACCAGCAGGAAAATTCAATAAATTGAATGTTAGCGATTTTGGATGGTACCAAGTCACGGTGAGTTACATTAAGTGTTCAATGCTAAAAACAACTGTTCAACAAAATCAAATTTTTTGTGAAAAACAAAATATTTGTCAAATTTAAAATAATTGTACAAATTTTCCAATTTACCTGAAACTAATAACTACTAATAAGAAAAGTTTGAAATTAGAAGCCACTTAATTTTGATATTTTTTTTATTTTAAGACCATTGTTTATATGTAAACATTTTTGTGTAAACAAAAAACAAGAATGTTCTCGCTTTTATATTTTATGTATTTTTGACAGATTTCTTTTATAAATTTGTCCGGAGAATATGAACAACAATACCATTGGCTAGAAATTATTAAATAATACGACAAAAAGATTAAACCTAATTTGCGAGTATTAACTACTAACTAATATTTGCACTAGAGAATCATTTTCTTATATAATATTTCTCTCATATATGTGGTATATACACTAATATTATTTAGTGTTAAAAGCATTTACATTAGATATGTGAAGGCCCCTACTTATTAATGCGCATGCAAAATTAACATATAAAAGAAACTTCGAAACTTTTGAGTGAAATGCTCTTCGATAATCACATTTGGTTGAATCCCAAAAACATGTGGAACTACAATTTGTTTATTAATATACATATATAATAAAAAAGATTCCAATTTTAAACTAGTGTTGCTAAACTATTGTTCTCTTTTATTATATAAATAAGTAAATAAACAGTAATTAATATAATATTGAATTAATATCAAACACTTTATTTTTTATTTCTCAATGAAATCATAAAATACTTAAATTTGAATCAAAATAAGACTAAAAACTTATTTGCTAATTATTGAATATTTAAATTATTCCCTTTAGTTCTCGTATTGTAGTTTGTAGGTCTTTAAAATACTAAATATATTTTCTTGTTTTGTAAGAATCTTAAAATTTTAAGATTTCGCCAAGAAAAATGCTACTTATTAATTTTTGAATATTCGTCTTCAACGATAAAAACCACAAAACACTATATTAACTTTCTTTAATACAAATTTGTATTATCTCTTTTATTTTATAAATTAGTATATAAACAGTAATTGATATAACGTTTTAATAAAACTAAAGCATTTTAATACTTTTATCTCTATAAAATCAAAACAATTTTTAAATATAAATCCAAATAAGACTAAAAGCTAATTTGCTAATTGTTGAATATTTATATTACTCTTTTAAGTTATATCGAAACTTATTGAAGTTTGCGTATATTTATATTGATCGTCAATGATAATGATGCAAAATAATATGTTAACCTTCTTTAACAAATATACGGTACGCTAGATTTAAAATAATTTTATCCTTTATAAATTTTTGTTGTATATTTTGTAGAAATTTTTGGGTTAAAAATGTTATTTAATTGTTTTTGAATGTAGATCTAAAGTGGTCCCAACACTATTTTACGGTGTTATATGTTTCTTTATTAGTTCCCTTATATGCAAAAATCTAATAACTTTAATACTAGCTTCACAGATCACTAGCATCATTATTCATTGAGTTCTCGTTGAACGGAAATCTGCACTAGATTTTAAACTATTTTAATATATTTTTTTGTATTGATGGTCTAATCTTCAGTTTAGTATTTCAAAAAAAGAACTGAAAAAATGCTATTATGTATTCATTGTTGTTGTTGTTGGAACCCGCTTGTGGGACCTGCTTGTGGAGTCCCTTTGGGAGATGTTGAATGGTACTTGGTCGTCGTAGGTGACGAGTGGCTCCGGAATGTAAATTCTACCGTTCTTAGAACTCTTCGTATTCATTCGTTCCTTTTATTGTAACCTATGTCATCCAACAAGAAGTTATTGAACAGTAGTCGATTTAAATAGATAAATGGCATCGAGATTTAGACCCAGCAAATATTTAAACAATTATGTTTTTTTGTTAATTTTAAATGTTCGCAGTTTTGTCAATAGAAAATTGAAAGTCATCGAAAGATTTGATAAACTTTCAATCCGAACTATAACAAAGACCTCATTTATATTTATGAATTAAAATTTTTTAATATTAGCAAGTGGTGAGCATGTAAATTTTTATAATTCTTTATTTTATACAATAACTAAAAAAAAGGAAATATTTATAAGGAAGATGACTAACGTACACAAAAATGCTTTACTTATGATGGCTAAATAATTCGTCATAAAATTCCGTTTCTTTAAAAAAATGTAAACAGATTGGGTGTTTGGGGCTATAAATAGAATATATCGTGTATATGTTTATATAAAATTCATTATGTTGAATTGTATATTTTTTTGTTAAGAAATCAATCTAAACAAAATCCTTAAGTAAGAAGATTTTTATAATTTTCAAAGAAAACTTAAGAACTCTAAGTAGAGTAAATAAATATTATTAAAAAAATATTTTTAATTGCTTATAATTAAACTATCAAAACAATTAGTAAATAATTAAAATTTGGATTTTTTTTTAATATTCGCATATCTAACAGCACAAGTTGTAGATAGAATTGTCAAATATTTATACAATATCTACTTATTCTTGTTTTAGAATGTTTTAAAAATTTGTAGTTGCTATCTTAACTTATTCTAACTAATTTAACAACTTAGATTATATTTTTAACATTTTTTTATATTAAAAACTTTTTTTAGATGATTATCTTTTTTAGTGCTAAATGTTTATACTTAAAATTTTTTGAATAATTTTAGTTTATCCAAACTTTTTAGAGCTAGATTTTTTAGATTTTTCCTGCACTAGTGTCATTATTACATTTCCAAGTTCGTTGGAAGTCCTATAAATACTTCTTACTTTAAAGTCCTACTTTTGGAGTTTTCTTTGTTAGGGTTGATTAACATATGGTTGTCTAACAATTTTATTATTATTTAATCCATACGTCAAGAAGTATAAGGTTTGAATCTAATTTTTCAAGTTGCTTCTGTTGTCTTGCTCTGATCTTAACTTGTTCTATTATTTCTTTCTTATATCTTTTCTTTTTAAGAACAATTACTTTTTAAATGGAAAATTTAATTCTTTTTAATATCGTATCTTGAAGAAGGACGATCTGCCAGTTTCTTTTTGTATAGTGATTCTTCTTTCTAATACCCTATCTTAATACCGTAATACAAACTGAAAGATCGTACTTCTCCAATATAAGACATTTGTGATCGAACACATTGTTGTTGTTTTGTAACCTGCTAAGACCTACTTGTGAAGTACTTTTGGGAAGTGTCGAACGACACTTGGTCGTCACTGGCGACAAGTAGACCCGGCCGTCCTTAAAACCTAATCGAACATGTCGTCAAGTACCTTGGGAATTCTCTAGGAAACTCAATTTATTTTCATACAATAATTCTAAATGTGAAATATTTATAAATATTTAAAAATTTAATGTATTTAACTAGAATATCGCAACAGGAGTTATCACATACAGATCGGATCAGTGGGCAGTCATTAAGAATACGGTCGATGTTCTGCTTTGAGTTTCCACATGGACATTTTAAATCGGTTTTAGAATCCATTTTGTTATTGCTGCTTTAATCCATATTATAACTATAACTTAATTATTTTAGTTGAAGTTTTTGTGGTTGTTTCTGCTATAAGTACATTTTTAGACTTTCAATTTTTTCTGCTATTAGAAATAGGAATAAATGTGGTACCAGCTCTCAACGGAGCTTAACACTGCGAACATGGTTGATCTTTTGTGCTGCAACAGACCCATTCGCCTTCCGAATGAAATCTAGAATGTTGGCTATTGAGGATCTCCTAGTGTCAGAAGGGGAGAGTAGTTCTCGATCCAGTGACTTCCTTCTGACCCAGATCAAGACTGGCAAGTCACAAAAAATGTGACTTCAAAGCTCGTCTGCTTATAAGCAGAGTCGACAATCTTTCTCTTCGGATAGACTCATTTTGTTAACGTAATAACACAGTCCATGGTGATCCGTTAGATATCCCTCCAGCACCCTCAACCTCAATTGTGTTCTGCTGAAGAAGGATAACTTACCATAACTGTAGAGATGAACCAGCTCTTTAGCCTGACGGTTATCCGGAATGTCGCGCCAGTAGCGACTTCTCTCGGCTGAAAATCATTTATTAATCATTTTTCCGTTATTAACTCTTACAGATATTTTTAATAATCCAAATGTTTCCACTATTAGATTAAACGCATGTGTTAAAGTAAATGCCCTTGCTTCTAACTGACATATTTATAAATATTCATAATTCTCTGTTATATATAGTTTTTTATAACTGCAATTGGCAATGATTTTATTAATTAATTTCAACAATAATTAAATAGAGACAAAGATAAAGTTATTAAACAGCAAACAAGCACAAAGACAAAATAAATATTTATACATGCAGCACAGAATTTTATCTGCTGAATATATAAACTCTGCCTACCTTTTTACTTGTATTCCCAATAAAACGTGCGATTATTAAAATGTATTTTACACTCTAACAATATACTGAATTATTTCATTCTGTATTTTTTTTTTTTTATTACACTTGTATTGTTTATGCCAATGAAATTTAACAGCATTTAGTATTTGTATTTCCAGCGGTTTATTTTGCTCACATGCATGTATCTTGTAGACAATCTTCTAACTGAACCGTCGTGTATTTAATGAAAATTCTATTTTAAAGATAGTTTGCAATAGACCGACCGCCTTAACAAATAAAACAATAAAAAAAAACTAATTGTTTATAATACAATTTTATTAACAAAAAGAGGAAACAGATATGAATGGGTTTTTCGTTTTTAGAATATTTAGTAATGAGATATTTTTTATTTTTGATTTCAATTTTAGTTAGATATTCACGATAATGTTAAGCAGACGTTAGCGACATCAGCAATAAAGATTATTATTATTATTTATTTAACAATTGTTAAAAATCTATAAACTGCCAAATTTAATTGGTAATTTGTGCGTACAGTACAACACGCGATAACGCAAATTTCCTAACCAAAATTTTGCTTTTTTAACCTGGCGATAAACCGATAAACCTCACTGCATCAGCAGTTTTAGCTGAAGTACGTCGAACTCAAGTGTCACTGAAAAGTTGTTCAAATTAATATAATATTTAATTCTAAAATATATGTGTTCTAAAATATATATTAAATAAACGCCAAATATTGTTTTAGTGTGCAGTAAACCTCTCTAATTTGTTAATTTTTTCAATTAAAATAAAATCAAAAAAAAAAAAAAAAAATAAACGATTTTAGTCAGTCAAACTTATAGAAATGAGCTTAAAATGTACTTCAGATATAGTTAAGTGCACAAAATGAACAAGTGAGAACACTGAAATAAAAAATAAATTTTTAAATGTAATTATTATATAAAATAATGTCATAAAAGAAATTATAAAGGCATTTTATTGCTTTATTGGTCTCAATATAAAATACAAATAAAACTTTTAATAGTGCTTATGACGTTAGATTTCACAAATTGTAATCTATTATAATCTATTTTTGTATTGTAACCTGTTGATGAATGTGTTGAATGATACTTAATCGTCTGTGTTAAGTGGCTCCAAAATATATACCCGGGTGTTCTTGAAATGTCTATAACCTAAAATATTACACTTTCAACACTTTTAATGTTATAAACACAAAGTCTATATTTCATACTATATTGTATTCTCTAATTACTATTTAACGTAGTAATTAAACAAATACAAAATAAAAAAAAGAAATTAATATCCTAAATGTCAATTCCAAAAAAAAAAAAAATTTAGTATCCTTAATATTATTTAAAAAACAAAAATTAGTATTCTCAATATTATTTATAAACAAATAAAAAAGAAATTAGTATTCTCAATATTATTTATAACAAAAAAATAAATATTCTCAATATCATTTACTATAGCAACTAAACCTAAAACTAAACAATTTTTAATTCCCCAATAGACTTACTTTCTAGTCTGGCATTTCCGGCTTTTGTTTACCCATTTGAAAATATTCTTAACCTCATTCAATAAATCTATAATGAAATCATACGTAAAAGTGTTATCATTACTAAATAGATTTGTTTTCTAGTTATTATACAGCTATTATATTAATTAATATTATATAAAATATTATAGAAATAGTGATGTTATAAATCAATAATTAAGTTACAGAATTTTGATTTTTAATAATTCAGTTCCGATTGTTAGTACAAACAAATTCCTATAATACACAAGACAACATCGTTGTTGTTGCACTTCCCTTTTTCCATTGTTGTCCAGTTTTTTCTTCCTTAGTGCGGTATTCTAAAATATTGAAAAGAGAAACAATATATTATAACATATAATATCAATATGTTATATATATAATAATGAAAAAAAATTTACCTTGCTCACAAAAGATAGAGTGTATAAGGCATATAAATTTTTTTAATTTAATGGAAAACCTATATTTATAATTTAACATTATTTTTTACTTTTAGAGGGTTTTCGAATAGCAAAGGAAGAAAGAAAGAAAAAACACAAAAATTTATTTAATTTTATTAAAATTTGGCTGATCATACGACGCTATTTCGAGTATTGCCAAGTACTCATCATCAGTGGTCTTAGGAAATAATCGAATTTTTAATTACTCCCAGGCTTAGGAACAAATTAGTAGCGATGACTAATCGTGTTTATCCACAAGTAGCCAAGGCTGCACAAACTTTTAGTGCTCTAGTTCCAGGTTTTCTGTCACTTTATTTAATTAGTGACATTAATCAATAATATTGTTTTTTATTTTAATATTTTTAAAGTGTCTTAATAGTAAATTTTCGATCCGTTACTTAGTTTGATCAATTATTCCTGAAATTTTTATTTTTAATATTTAAAACAATTTTTCACGTGTTCATATTACCTACGATATGCATTCCCTGGATTATACTGTAGTTTATTAAAATATTTTATAATATATTGTCTAATATAACCCAATCAAATAAAATATTGTAAATTAAGTCATTTGAAAGTAATATAGGTTTTTCGTTCCTAAACAAATCACTTTTAATAACTCAGTGCCACTTAGAACTCCGATATCATTGGCTCCGTTTGAAAGAATTGTTACCTATTACCAGGATTTCCTAGCTACACGACATTCCTAGTCATGAATGTTGTAAACTTCAAACTTTCATAAATGGAGCTATAGACACAATGAATGGGTTACAACTTGATTGTATTGTAGTAAAATAACTCGCTTATATCTATATATATTATCCATTTCATATATATTATATTTGCAAATAAATTTTATTTTGCTATAACTTATGTGTTTGATTTGATGTCAACACATTTTGGTTTCTAGATCCAATTTGAAAAAGTAGTATTTCAAATTAGAGTTTGTCTGGTGTAAGATCCTTAATAATATAATTATGAATTTAACTGTCTTTGACTATGACAAACGATTACTATAGTATACTTTGGAGACCAAAGCTCTTGCATTTCTTCGATAAGAAATACATACATAGTCAATAAATATATGTTTTGCCGTCCATCAAAAATTAAGCCTTCACTAAGGTTATCTTCAATCTGCACTTATCCCCTCCTAATCTTATTGCTTTATTCCACTCCGTTTTTTTTAGAAGTAGAACGGTTTCTTAATCTTGTTACTTACTGAGTTCCCTCGATGTGTACCATTAATATCTGTTACAGCGAAAAATAATTACAACGGTTTTCCTAAGAAATCAAAACTCCTGTAGACAAACTTTGGACAAGATATAGATACATATTCAGTGATTATTTGACGTCGCTTAACAAATGTTTGGCCCAACATAAAATTGTTGTTTCGTTTCAGTGACGTTATATTCAATCTTGTCAAATTCTCTCCACATAGCTTCACTCATCCACATTGCTTTATTTCAGTCCGTTCCATTTAGGTGGCAAGACTTTTTAATTTTGTTATCATTAATCTGTTGTTGGGCCCGCAGAGTTACACAGTTATATGACGGCTTATGTTACAATATAAAATATAATTAGAGTAGAAGAATTGTATTCAATACATATACGATAATATATTATAATTCAATAAATATAATTAATATAATATAATAAAATATTAAGAATTCATAATTTGTTATTATATACAGACCTTTAAAGCATTAAAACTCCTATTGATTTATTTTATCCTATCGTGAAATATAGAATCAAACCTACAAATATAAACAATTAAACAGAAAATGACAAATATGTGCCACAATTAAACATAAATATATATATATATATTTATATATATTGTATATAACTTACAAATGTACAAATTTTTTTGTTCAAATAAAAAACAAAAACAATAAACAAAGACACTAAAACAATAAACGCACACAATCAATCAAAACAAATTTGGAGAAAAAAAAAGATACATAATGGAATCACTTGGTGCGTGGGACTATACGATACTAGCCTTCGTGCTTATATTATCTGCCTCGATTGGTATTTATTATCGACTGACAGGTGGCAAGCAGAAGACCACCAAAGAATTTTTGCTAGCAGATCGTTCCATGCCAATAACGCCGGTTGCATTTAGTTTAATGGCCAGTTTCATGTCTGCCATAACAATACTTGGCGTGTCAATGGAGAACTATCAGTACGGCACAATGTTTGTGGTTATCAACATTTCGTATGTTTTATCGACACCATTTGCTGCGTATCTTATATTGCCAGTATTCTATCGCTTGAAAACGGCAAGTGTCTACGAGTATCTGCAAATGCGTTTCGGTTATGTCACGCGATTATGTGCCTCCCTTGCCTTTTCGCTGCAGATGATACTCTACATGGGTATTGTGCTTTTTGCGCCCGCTTTAGCATTGGAAGCTGTTACAAAATTGAATACAGTTTTCTCGATTATTATTATCGGTGTTGTTTGCACGTTCTATGCAACACTTGGCGGCATGAAAGCTGTGCTGATAACAGATATTTTTCAATCAGTACTCATGTTTGTTGCTGTTTATAGTGTGATTATATGTGGTATTATCAAAGCCGGCAGTATTAGCGAAATATGGAATGCAGCAGTTGAGGGAGATCGTATTGAATTCCTAAATTTTAGCATTGATCCAACAACACGACATACTGTTTGGACACAAATAATAGGTGGTTGCGCTACATATCTGGCCATATATGGCGTTAACCAAACACAAGTACAGCGTTTGTTATCGGTTAGAAATTTGAAATCATCACAAAGTGCCCTGTGGTGGAATTTGCCCATATTAATGTTGTTAAGTTTTAGCACATGCTTTTCAGGGTTATGCATATATTATTTGTATCGGAAGTGTGATCCATATGAGGAAGGCCGTATTAATTCACGTGATCAAATAATGCCATTATTCGTAGTGGACACCATGGGTGACATGTCTGGACTTGCAGGTCTTTTTATCTCTGGTATTTTCTGTGCCAGTTTATCAACAATATCATCAGCTATTAATTCTTTAGCAGCTGTAACGCTAGAAGATTACATAAAGCCATTATTACATGTAATGTCTAAAAAGGAACTATCTGATGAGAAAACAGTTTGGTATTCAAAAATATTGACCTTAATATATGGAGCCGTGTGTATCGGTATAGCTTTCTTGGCCAGTTCACTTGGTGGCGTACTGCAAGCATCATTATCTATTTTTGGTATAATTGGTGGTCCTTTACTTGGTTTGTTTACACTTGGCATGTATATAACAATTGCCAACCAGAAAGGTGCATTAACAGGCTTAGCAGTTGGTTTGGGAATGTCATTTTGGATTGGTTTTGGTCAACCTAAACCACCAATACCAAGCTTACCAATGTCGACAGAAGAGTGTCCAATAACAAAAACAAGTCATGTTAGCGATCTGTTTCTCAGTACAAATACTAAAGCAGTAGAGGAAGAGGATCATTACTTCTATTTATATCGTATATCTTATATGTGGTATGCTGTCATAGGATTTCTATTAACATTTTTCGTTGGTCTCATTTTTTCTTGGATATATGCTAAATTAAATTGGGACTCTAATGCTCACATATATACTGATCCTGGTTGCACACTAATTAAATATGATCTGTTTGTACCGCCGATTGCTAATCGTTTAAGACGTAAACAAATGCCCGTCGTTGTAGTCACTGGTACAAGCTCTGAAATGGGTGGCGGTTCGGCTACACCTAGTACTGTAGGTGCTGATGAGGCACAAATAGCAAAATCTGTAACGAATTCTACGGAATTAAGTGAGGAAAATGATAATGTTTTTCCTGAAGTAGAGGAACAAACGCCTAGACATCGAGTATTTACGATATCCTAAATAAAATTATAATAATAGAAAACTATTATGCATTTGAGTAATAAATTTAATGTGAAATATTGTAAATAAGTTTTATATATTGTAAGAAGAGAAAACTAAAAGGCTTCAAATAAATATAAATATGTTTTGATAATATTTGTATTAAAAAATATGTTTAAATTAATTACAGTTATAGATTTCTGATCATTTTTCATATACATATACACAGAGCTATACTTAGATAAAATTTGTTATATCTTTATGTAAGGAGTAATATATTAAAAAGCGCTGTTATTATATTTCTTCAATTAAGCTGAACATTAACTACCTAATCGATAAATTTACCAAGAGCTAAAATCTTTATTTCGTTTTGATCATGACTTAACCTAAAGAAATATTCATATACAAAACAATAAAATAGATTATATATAAAAAGATAATAGATTAAAAAAATTACATAGAATATACATATATAAAAGCCTGTCATTAAGGCTTATCACAATAATGCTCTTAACACATGTAACATATCAGTATAAAGTGACGATAAACGCGCCTATTGGAATTCAACCGGAACCAATTGAATCTACACATTTGGATGTAGTTTCTTCTTTGGTAGGGAGAGAAGCCCATCGAAAGAAAATAATGAATGGAATCATTCTACCTACATCACTTCAGATTTTAACCACAATTCCGGTCCGCTATACTTCCACTAAAGAGGCCAACCTCCCTCTATGGGTCAGAACATCTGAGTTATGGGCCCTAACCCCAGTGGTACTAGATTTTCACATGCTGTTTGATATTGCAATTGAAACTCACTACCATTTCTACTCAAATCAGTATCGGGTAGTGTCTATTGGATTTTAACCGACCTCTTATGGCAGACATGCCTTGCCTCAGGTATATTCTAACCCCTTTTGCGAGAGGATAGTGAAAAAGAACAGTGTAAATATAGTAAATCTTTAGTCCTTACAGTATATGGCTAGGTATGGAAAATCAAGCTAGCTGCACTATTATTATTTTAAAGGGAGTATATCCATGCGCAAGTATGAATGTTAGTAAATATCAATTTGCAAAAAAAGTTATTTATAATTGCTATATTAAAATTTTGCAACAATGAAGTGCATTTTGTTATATCAAAATTAATAATAATAATTAATTAATTATTTTTAATTTCATTTAGTTGTTTTAATTATTTAAATTTATTTTAATTAAAATTGAGTTAATTTTTACTATCTGATTTTAATTGGTTTATTAAATATTGTTGAGGGTAGTAATTTTCTAAAATTTTAAATGAAGCGTAAAGATTACAAAAACCGAGATGCATCTAAAAAGAAAAGCTACTGTAATAATAGATCTTCATTAGCTTTTAAATATATATCAGTGTCCTATTAACCGTTCTAAGGACTGTTGTCGTGTAAGCATTTTTAGTCCATCTTCTTTTTAATAATTTTATTTTGTTTTTCATTTGAATTTTTTTTTTGGTTTTTTAATGTATTTTGAATTTTTTCTACTAAAAATAATATTTTGGAAAATATAGATAAGTTAGTAGCACTCAAATTTAGAAAATTTGTTATTTTGTTTAATATTTTTAAATAACCTTTTTGATTTTATATATAAAACTTGATTTTATTCTAATCTCAAGACCCAGAGCATAGTGTAGTTCATTAGCTAATAAGTTATCGATATAATAGAAGTGAAAAAAAAATTTTACAATAATTTTAATTAAAACTATGGTATGTTTCCGGAAAAATTATCCACAATTTTTACAAAAAAAAAAATCTGAATCGAAACAATTAAAGTACAAGGATGTATTGGGCATCAAACTAAAAAATAAACTAGAAATTGCAGTGTTCTATTAAACTATTTGAATAAATAGTTTTTATTCAGTTTTATTTATTTTATTTTATTTTTTATTTTATTTTATTTTTTTATTTTATGTTTTATTTTATTTTTATTTTTGAAATAAATGTGTTTTTTTTTGTAGCACACCTTGTCTTAATATCCTATATTTCAGCAAATATATTATATGTATAATGTAAGCCTTTCCCATACGATTTTTTTTTCATATTTTAATTCAAGGCACACTTTCTCGCATTTATTTCGAATAAGCCTAAAGCACTGTATATATGAATGTTTAATTACATGTTTATATATGATTTATATAATGATTATTTATTTAAATTCTAAATTTTCATTATTTTATAAAATTTTTTTATGCATGATGTCCTGCTTTAAAGGAAAAACTTATCAATGTTATGTGTTTTTTTTATTTAACTATAATCATATTCAAGGCATAATAACATTTAATAGTAATTATATTATTAATAAAAAATGTAATATTATATTATTATTATAATAAAATATTAAATTATTATTATAATAAAATATTATATTATTATCATAATAAAATATTATATTATTATTATAATAAAATATTTATTATATTATTATTATAATAAAATATTTATTATATTATTATTAATAAAATATTATAACATTTAAGGCACAATAATATTTTAATAGTAATTATATTATAAAATTATATATATATGTATATACATTTTTTTTTTTTGCAAAGTGGAGTTATAGATTCATTTCCTTTTCCTTCACTTATCATTTAATAAAATTAATAACAATTAAACAATAAATTTCGAAATCCATATAATACAAAAAATTGTTATAGTTATAATTATTTCATTTATTTATTTTTTTTTTATTTGCGTATAAAATAGGTGCGCTTTTAAAATAGTTCAAAGTCAAATTATTCAGATAAATTTTTTTTGACTATTTTTATTGTTAGTAATAACAATAACAACAATAATAAATCTAAATCTTAAATACAAGTTTTTTAAAATATATTAGCGGTTATAAAAAATTATTTACTCATTTTAGGGCATTAATAATTTAAAAGTGTTTATTTAGAAAATAAAGTATTTTAATATAATAATATTCAACTGTGTGTACTCATTCACCTTGCATGAATAATATATATATGAAAATGTTTACGAAATTCTTATCAATTTGTACTTTTAATATCATTATTTACCGATGTTGAATTCGAATGAAAAAAAAACCACTTAAAGCCACACCAATTCTTAAATAGAGCATGACTACGGATTTTTATTTTTTTCTGTTGTTATTAATTCAAATTTAATTAGTAAATTTTGTGTAAACTAAGCATTTTTGATAATCTTAAAGCAATAAAAAATATTGTTGTTTTGTTTGCATATATATAATTCCCGGATTATATGGATTTGTGCAGATCCAGTATAAGATTTCTTCTTTGCTTGCGTTCGGCATCCACAATACCGCCCAAATCATCGGTTATGTGTGTTGCATGCGTCCAAGCGGCACCCTTGACTTTTGTTATATGTACACGATACGGTTGCTCGATAGCTCCGACGGTGGACTCTACTTTGGAATTGATTTTGTTAATATTTTTTGCAGGTACATAAGCGCCACAGTTCACTAACAGATTTACGCAGATGAACGCTGTTATCAGTATCATTTTCCCTCAATTCACTTCACTTCACTTCACTTTAGTTATTTAATATGTCGTTTTTAATTATTAATTAATTTATAATTGAATAAAATTATTAGAATATTGAGGAATTGTTCATTCGCTTTGAAATGTTTGAATAAAACTGAATTTGTGTATTGTAAAGAAGATTTTTTTTAATCTGTTAGGTTTTGTGCATTGAAACAGTAGCGCATTTTGTTTCAGATTACAAAGTGGAAAGTTCAGTACTGCTAACTGCTAACTTAAGGCAAGCAAATATATTAATTTTTATTTAATATAATTAAAAAAAAGAATTTAATCTCAGATATGATTTCCTTTTTTCTTATTTGATATCAGTAAATTATAATAAAATTATTTCTATGTCATGTAGAGTTGATAAATTTGTTATTAATTATATTGTATTTACTAGTCACAGTAAATGCGCTACTGTTCTAGGCTCATTCTCAGTAATCTGACTTTGTTTGAAGTGTAGCTCGACTTTTATAATCTAATATAATATTAATTAATTTGTTTATATGCTATTTATTATTTGATTATTTCGCTTTTTATGCAAAAATGATAAACTTGTTAACATTCCCTTTTGTTGCTTGCTAAACAAATTTTGTTGCTTGACTTTTGATGAACACATGAAATTTATTTTCCTTTAGATACAAAATAGATTAAATAATTTAATTTCATCTCTTAACTAATTATTCGTTTAGTAAATATTTTTATTAATGTTTACAGTATATTAATTCGATAAAATTATATATATTTAGTACTCTTTAAACAACGAATAGTTTCAGTTTAACATTATATGCTTCTCTATACCAAATTACTGTATATAGGGTGTTTAATTCAATAGCTTTAGTAGTTGATACCTTGCTCCAAGACCGAATCAAGAATCTGCACACCGAATCACTAATCTGAATAGGAATCCACCTCAATAAACTAACTCTCATTCCAACAGCTACGAGTTTATAATATCGCCAGAGCATATAAGTATCAATGAATATGTGTATAAATTTGAACAGTACAGAAAGTTTGAAAAGTGTCTGAATCATATACGCTTGTTAACATCGACAACATCGCTTATACCAATGTTTCTTAACCATTGGGTTTTGTAAGAACCAGTACATTTTCCGAATAGATAATATCGCTAACTCGTTATCTTTGACGACTATTTTAAATATCCTTTTCGTCCTACATAAACGACTTATGATATTAGAAATTTATTCCTAAACGCAAAAATATTTCTGTAGAAGAATTTTAGGGTACATTACAGCATTTTCATATTTATATATTATTACAGTAATTTAATATTTATATATATGATTTTGACTGATTATACAATAATCATACACAATTTTATAATATAATATATAGTTTTATAATTTTTAAAATTAGTTTAATAATATATATTATTTTAATTATCATAATATATATTTTTTTGTAATAATATTAATATTAATGAATATTATTATAATAATATTAATAATAAAATATATTATTGTATATATTATATTATTATATATTAAAATAATGTTATATATTATTTTAATTTAATTATATATTTTATATGTTATTTTAATAATAGTACTACATACTATTTTAATTTTAATAATAATGTTTTATATTATTTTAATAATAATATTTTATTATATTTTAATAATATTATTTTAACAATTATATTATTTATTATTTTAATAATAATATTATATATTATTTTAATAATAATATTATATATTATTTTAATAATAATATTGTATATTATTTTAATAATAATATTGTATATTATTTTAATAATAATATAATATATTATTTTAATAAAAATATTATATATTATTTTAAAGAAAGTATTTATTATTTTAATGATGTTTAAATGTATTATTTTATTTATCTTATATATTATTTTAATTTTATGTGTTGTTTTAATAATGCGAATTATTTATTAATTAATTTATAATATGCAATAATGCAACAAATTATTTAATTCATAAAAATAAGGAAACCTTATAATAGTTATAAAAAGAAATATGCCTAAAAGTTCATAAAATCCAATTTTCTAAAAAAAATAAAATGCACTTATGCTAAAATATTGATTGAGTTATGGGTGTTAATTAGTCTTTACTTAACTATATTTATGGATGGGAATCGGTAAAGAATCTGTTATGTATTGTCTAAACTATGGATGAAGTAAATTAACAAAACAAGAATCTTATAGACATTCATAAAGTTGTTAATTTGTCATAAAGCACGATGATTGTAATCATCCAAACCAATACATATAGAATAGTCAAAAACGAACTTAACATAAGTTCTAGAGATAGTCTTATGGGTGAGTCTATGTCATTAGCTTTATATATTGAAAAAATGTGGTTTTCCATTTTAATAGATAATGTATAAAACATACAATGTACTAAATATTTTGTCATATTACTGTTTCTTTAAAGTTATATAAAATATAGTTGGTATTCAAAATGTTTAGCATCAGCGAAAAGCGTCTGAATTTGACCAAAAGTCCATAAAAGACAATCTGTTTTCTTACATATACAGACATATGTTTTTAATAATTGCTAAACACATTTTACTTTAAAATTCTTCAAATATTTATTTATTGTTTAAGTATTTGTATATAATAAATATGCAGTTTGAAGTTCAGCATTATAGTTGAAATGCAACAGATGTTTTACTTATTAATAGCAATCATGGCATTAAATTCTTCTGTTCTTTATACGACATAGTTTACAAAGTCGACAAAGTATTTGTCAGATTTGGTTTATGAATCATGAATTCTCTATTAGTTAAGTTTTGGTTAGGTTATACCGGTAAATTAATGGATTCACTTGGACCAATATTTACTATTGTGATGATATATGTTGAGGCTAGTTGAGTTGAGTCAGTGCACCTGAGCACTTTTACTCTCTATTAACTGCGAGGTTTCTACAAAACCCCTCTTTGCGCCTTGACTGGATTATTGTTTATCACTTCATTAGACTAGGCAATAATTGACCTCAGATCTGCATATCTCCCCGAGGAGCCTGTAACCATTCTGAGATTTGAAATCATTAAATCTGTTATAAACAGGGTATAAATACCGTATATTAACTACGTCAAGATATTAATAAGGCAGTGTAAGAAACACTATAAAGTATATAGCTTAACAGCTCATCAAGAAGAATCAATCTTGCTATATCTTTATATACATGTCTCAATGTTATATGAGGTATTAATTTTTAAGCTAATCTCTAATGAAATTGCGCAGACTAATACAATGAAATTTAGAAACTACCTGAATATTTATTTTAAACGAATAATACGATTATTTGACGATAATTTTCCATAGCTCCCATATCAACTTTTATAAATAACTGTAAGTTTAACCTATTCAGATTCTCCAGTTTCATATTCACATTAAAGTAGACTAGTATATGACCAGTGGTTCAAATTCACCCTTTGTTATTTTTAGGTGCTAGGCGTTTGTGTGAGATATTTTGACTTACTACTTCAATTGTTGTGATAGATTAACTATTACAAAACTCACTGATAAATTTTATATTATAAATGTATAAAAAAAAGTAAACAAATTTGGAGACAGAGCAAAAATTCTCACTTTCATTCTGTAAGTAAGTGCATCAAGTTAATCTTTGTGTTAATCACAAAAGATTGAAAAAAAAAACGTTACATTCGGTTATATTTCACTTCACAACCCTATAAATAAAAAAAAAAATTATCTAAAAATGTTGTGTTTAACGTACTTACAACTGTTACAACTGTTTTTTTAGCCTCTTTATGATTTATCATTAGAACTATAGAAATAATCCTTCTGATTTTTCGGAAACACTTTTTTTGTTACAGATTTTAGTATAAATAGCTATGTTTATATTGATTAAACTAATAAAAAAAATTACATACACCATCTAACGTCAGAATAATAAATGTCATTCTTAAAAAGACGTTCAAAAAACTAAAAAAACTAACGATTTTAAGATTTGTTTTGAAATTATTTGCTATGAGCTGAAAACCATGATATCCATTCTATAGAATTTTACAGATTATTTTTTTTTTTTAACAATTCAGCACAATTGCTTAATTTATACTATATACGTATTATATTAAATTGATTTTTATTTAATATAATATTTTTTATTTATTAATTAATTGAATTTACTGTATTTCTGACCATACAGCTGTTTCGAGAATTGCCAAATATCTAACATCAGTAGTCTTGAAATTATTATAATTAAATCAATTCTGTTTATAATTGAAAATTAGTTTGTCTTTAATTCTGATTAAGCATGTTAAATATCCTATTTAATCCTAATTTTTTTTTATAAACTACTATTGTTAAGAATGTCCTATAGGAAGATTTTAATATATAATTTGATTATATCTAATTTTTTAAGATTTTTAGTGCTGTTTGCTACCATTTTAATTGTAATTTATTTTCTTCTCTGTTTCTAACGCAATTAGTTGGCACTTGGGCTGTTGTTTATACTTAATCATATATTTGGGCAAAGTTAATCACTGACTGCATTTCTTAGTGAATGTCTTAGTTCTAAATTCATATGACTTTAATTAATATTAACCTAACATTGGAAGTTGTTTTTTTTTTTTCCAGAAGTAAGTTCACTTTATAATGGGAATATTAAATGTCTGTCTTTATTTTTTCTTTCATTTTTAGTAATTTTCTGCCTTTATTATAATAATTTTCTTTATACAATTGATGTTTATTTAGATGCATTTACGCGAAAATATAAATGTTAATAAATATCTAGTATAATTGTTATAATTTTATATTGGTTTTACAATTTTATAATAAAAACAATGCTTTCATTCAAAATAGGAAAGTTATTAGGTATTAAATCACTGAGCCGAAAATTTATTATTTTTATTTTTAATTTCATCTATTAAGATTTCTGAAATAAAGTAATTCTATAATAAATTGTTATAATAAAGTGAACTTCCTATAGTGCCAAATTTAACATTTAATTATTTTTAATTCAGTACAGCTTTATATATACTTCAAATATTTTATTTAACCAACTTAATACCATTTACAAATCTCGTCTCAATTTTACAATAGTTTATATTGAAGACTTTTTTCTATATCATTATGGAATCTAAATGGTTTTCGTTAAATATTAAAAATGTTTTTATTTTATTTTAAATTGTTTTATTTCATAAATTCAATTTAAAATTCGGATAAATATACTTATAGATATAATTTTCCATATATATTTTAATAATTATATTGTTTTTTTATGCATATATCATATCCATCATATATAATGAATATATTCCATTATTTATCTTTTTTCATTTTATACTTTAATTATTCTTTTAATAAAATATGCTTTATATAAATGAGACTAAATGCTTAAGAAGTTACAATTTATCTTATATAAAGTTACATATTTGATATTTAATTAATACTATAATACAGTATGTGGGTATAATGTTCCCTTATTAAGATTCATATGTCGCAGATGTTGTTGATGTAGTTATAGTAGTTCTAGTAAATGTTCCTGTGCGGTTATCATCATCAATGGGTTGTGCAACTATTGTCGATGTAGTGCTCTATATAAAATAGATAAGAAATATATATTGTTATTAATTTAATTTAGATAAAATATTGGAAATATATATGAAATAATATTGATATAAATTGACAAATTTGAACAAAATATATATCTAAATATATATATATATAATGGACATACTTCAATAGACGTAATTAGAAAAAGTTTTCCTGATTTTTAATCTTATCTATTAATTACTTTTAAATAAACAATTAATCACTTTTATAAATTATTTATGTTTTAGTCATTTAGAAAATATTTATTTAAACCCAAAATGACACATATTTATGATATAATTAACAATCTTTAATAATTTTTTATAAACTGATATGAAGAAAAAAAAAATTAATGTACAAAAATAATTTAAATATTAATAATTAGTAATGTTTATTATTAAATTTTGTCTGGAGTTTATTTTTTTTAAAATAATATATTTGTTTTTTTAAAGTTTTTTTGGTCTAACAAATTTAAAACCAACCCAGTAGTTGTTATAAAACTTCGCCCAGAAAAAAAAAATTTAATTAACCCGAAAACTTTAAAAAAAAAATAATAAAACAAAACATTGTGTTTGATTAAATAATTCATAGAAAGAACTTTAGATACGTATATCAAGTATTAGATAGGTGCCTTAGGTATTAGATAGGTATCTTAGGTATTAGTTTGGTATATTAGGTATTAGATGGGTACCTCAGCTATTAGATAGGTATCTTAGGTAATAAATACAAGTACCTATCAGTCTTGAAAGTGAGACAATTGTAAAACCACATGATATGAAGCAAAACAATTATATTCAAATGTAATTATAATTTTAATTATAAATTATTTTAAATTATTATAATAACGTGACTTAAAGAATCATTGCTACAGCGTATAAGAAGTTCATGTTACCAGTTTATTATTATAATATCATTATTGACATTAACCATGCATTGAACTTATTTGTTAGATTTATTATAAAACAGTTTGTGGTATCAAAGCTAATTTTTAATGGAAGGGACGGTTCCTCTTTCTGTTGTCATATATCTATTGAGTCTATTGGGCGCTTAAAGTATTGGTCATATAAAAACAAAATAATTATTACATTATTAAGCTATTTGTAGCAATTGAATGATATTAAATATTCATCTTTGATCGACAAGTCACTAATTGTAAGTTTTATAAACATTTTTGGAAGCTTTAAGCAGTTTTTCTCAATGTTTAGTAAAATATCCCACAGTTCTGAATTGTTTATGATTCATCAATTTCCGTTTTATTTACAAACTAATATTCAGGTACATACTGAAGTAAATATTCTGTATATTTTTTCTAGCAATTTTTAACTAATGTCGTCAATTGGATTATTATGAATTATTTTCGGCTTAAGATATTTAGAGGCACGTAGATTATTATATAAAAGATAATTTTTTTTTGCTATGCAAATTTACTCAATATTTCTAGAAAACTTTTGCCGAACTCTGTGTAGAATTAAGAATCGTACAAAATTCTACTTTTTTTTATAAATTTTTTTTTTGTTTTTGCAATATAATTCAGAACTCAAATTTTAATGTTAGGTTGGCTTCTTTAACTACTTAAAATGATACCACATTTTATTATTTCTATTTACTTTTCTCGTTACCATCCACAAATGTTTTTTTTTTATTATCACGCAAATAAAGCCTGAAAGTCGAATTAGATACTTTTATTTGTTCTGTATTTTTTTTCATTTTTAACAAAGAAATGTTTGTTATATGTTAAATTGAATTATTTTTTAAATTCAATAAAAGAAACAATTCATTACGCCCAAAAGCAAAAATAAAAATATTTTCATATATAATTTTTTTAAAAAATCACAAAAGTTTTTTTTAATTCAATTCACATTAACTTGTTTTTATCTTATCTTAAAATTATTTATTATATCCTTTATCTTTTATCCTTTCACTTTCATTCTTAAATATCAATATCTCTATTAGCACTCTTTATTCTCTAACAATAAACTGCATTGCACTTTATCTATCATACCCCATTTTTAGTTTCCGATGGACTCCAGGATGTTTTGGAATCTAAATCTTTTGAACAACAGCCTCCCATTATTTTATTTTTAATTATTTTATTGTAATATCCTTTTTATATAATTTTATTTTATTTTTTTCTAAAGTTCTTATTAATTAAAATAATTAATAAGAAATTTCAATTTCACTTTTTAACTTCTTTATGAACTTTTAAGAACTGAACGAACTCTCAAACATCTTTTTATAATCTATACAAAATGTCATTTAACTTTTTGTTGTTGTGTTGTTTATTTTTTTTTTATTATTTGTTTTTTTTTAAGTAAAAATTGAAACGAACAATTTTTTATCGCAAAAATGAGTCGCTCACCATTTATTTTTATATATTATTAAATATACTATATACTTTGTGTGAGCTGAGCATACACACGTTTGTATGCATTCATAAACATTTAATCATATTATCGTATAAAACGAACTTATTCAGTTAGAATGACTCTGACTCTCCCTCGTTTTGATACGATACGATTCTTTGTATTTTAACCGACTGAAAGAATAGAGGAAGGTGGGACTCATAGAAAACTTTTATAAATATAGTTATATTGTTGGTATTGCATTTAACATAACAAATTAAAAACATTAGTTACTTGAAATGAAATAAAGTTGTTTCCCACATTAAGCAGTTATTAACATGATGCAGACTATTGGTACAAATTATTAATCATTGTTTATCAGAAATTATAAAACAACTGCATAAACAAAAAATGGTTTTCTTTTTAAATAATTCCTATAAACTTTTTTTTTATTATCGTTAATTCTGACTCGACTTGAACTAAAACTACAATAACATTTTTGACATACCTCGCCAATCACTCATCATTTTATAATCGCTATATATATACATATGTAGGTATATAAAAGCATCGATAATGAAAATCTTATCTTAATAGTCTAGGCAACAAAAAGCAAAAATATAACAATGAAGCTTATCAGTTATTTTAATAATAAAAAAATATACACGGGGAATACTACTCTTCACATTTTGTTATTTTCTCAATGATATAAGGTAGTACCACCCAAAGAGTAACCGCAATGGCATCCCTAGTTCCACAAAGTTTGATTAGCTCAACTTTTGCGGTTGCCTTAAAATTGTATGTTTTTACATGCTAAAAACCATCTGTATTCTTATTCCATCTGTTAGAGTTCTGGACTTTAAAATATAATTTCAAAAGTTATTCTACATTGTACCAAATAAAACGTGATAAAACAGATTCTATATAAAATTTATGTGGTAGCGACTGACATTTCTCAACATATGTGTAATATTTGGCTCAATCATAGAGAAAGGAGAGAGAGAGAAATGAAAGAGAAACTCTTAATTTAGATTTGTTTTGCTCTAGCCCCATACCCTTATATTATACACAAATAATTTTCGTTTTGTGTCTGTTTACGATAGGTACGATTCAATTAGTTGGCACAAAGTTACCACTCAATGAACTAAGGGTGCTTAACAATAACCAGTTAAAGACATAATTTAGACTTGTTGTTTTATTAAGGCCAAGGGACCATAATCACCCTTTATCACAAACGTTTTATAAAGCCTTTCTTAAGTCTCTGTTGTTTTAGTAAAAATTGTTTTGCGTCCCTAGCGAATTTAGGAATTATCTCCAGTCCCTATTTGGCTGTGACCTTCACATTGTGACATTGAATTACACCAAAACGTTTTATTCGGGTATTTGACAAACCCACACATGAACATTTATTTATTTTAAGTAATATACTAATACTAACAAATTAATTGCAAATTTTATTGTATTTTTTTTGTTTTTGCTGGAAATAATAGTAAAAATTCTAAGCGAAGTGGAATAGTAAATAAATATATAATATAAATAATATGTAAATTTTGTTTAAAATTATCAAATTAGTTTTTATTTATATATATATATTATATTATTTAAAGCAATAAAAAACAAAAAAAAATGCCTAATGCCCAACAAAAAAATACATAAAATTGTTTAGTTATTTTAACCGGTTACTTTAATCATAGACTATAAAGAAAGGAAGATTGGTTATTCTCCAATTTCATACATACTCTCTTACAAATTGGTAAAATACCAAAATAGCTTTAGCCAAAGAGTGGGAGCAACAGGGTTATATATTTTTCGACCTTTAAATATTCTCTACAACAAATCAAATTAAGCAAAATTAACAGAACAAAAACTTAGTCGCATCTTAGATATAAAGAAACATTTTTTACTGGTTAGATTAGCCATGGAATGACCACCATAAACATGCATATGTTTTGACATAAAATGTAAATCAACTATGCGTCCGCATTCGTTAACTTTCAAACATCCTCTCCAACTAACAGGGAGAGGACATATCTAGTATTATCAGAAGAAATTTTCTCACATCTAAAATATTAAAGAAATAGGAATATGTTTTTATCTTGTTACTTTGCTACTTATGTACAGGAATTCAGAAAGGAAATTATTCGAAACCTAATCTTCTACCCAATGTATACCTTTGATTTATTGATTAATTAAATGTTAAAACCGAATATATCTGTACTTAAAAAATATTTCCAGTCACAAACCATCACTGTTGTCCGAGCATTGCTAGTGGTGATACACTGAGGGCATAGGTTTATAACCACTAAGGTGGATATAGACCCGTGAGTAACGGAACTTCACTCTGACAGTTGAGTGACTGGAGGTCTGAACGCCAACACAAATGAAAAATTAAAAATTTACTATTTTTTCTACAATTATTCAGATGCCATCACTTGCCATTATAATGCAAAACTATCAGCTTTATTTGATATTCGAATAGTCAAGCAACTTTAAATTTCTTTTATAACATGAAGCAAGTTGATCCGTATCTGTAAAAAGCTCTTGTAAGTAGTACGTGTCTGGTTTCCAGAACATGATCAAATCGACAGTAATGTATCAGCAAACAGTTGTAAATTAAAATGTCGAAACTCTTTCACAGGAGGGAACCTCTTCTACAAGATCTTCTAACATTGTTAGACTGTATTAGACAATTTTCAGAGCAATTAAAGGGCAATTAAAATAACTAATTCGAATCAACACGAAAAAATCGAATAAGTTTCTTAACCTAATTAGATCAGATTAATTATTAATTTTCCAAATGGTATAATTTTAACAAATACTACCTATCGAAGATCAGATTATAAATTGCTATCCATACATGTATTTGATTTGTGATTAAAACGTTAATTTATCTTCTCTGGGCGTATATAGCGGTTCTTAAGAAATTAACCCATTTAAGTACAAGGACATAATAAGCCTTAAATTAAATAGACTAAAAACTGGTATAGAATTTATAAGCTATTTGAATGAACAAGTTTTTTTTTGTTAACTGTTTAACAATTAGTTAAGTAAATAGTTATCATTTTTCTGTTTCTAAACTTCGTATCCAAAAACCTCATTTTCGCCTTAACAAGCGATTCTGAGGAATTTGTTTTGTTTTCTTTATAAAAAAAAGCAATGAGTTTTAATGACATGAAATCTACAAAAAAGAAACCTATATCAAAATACTTCAATGAAACTCTTTATGATTTCCTTTATACAGTTTAATTATTAATAAATTCAATTTATTTTTATCTTGATTGTGATTTTAAAGATAAAAATATTTTTATAATATATAATAAGTTATATTATAAAATCATTTAAATAAAAAAACGTCAAACACATGATTTTATTTCAATATTATTTATTTAGAGCTTTATATGAGCTTTTATATATATATATAAAAATATAATTGCTTTTTTATTGATATTATAGTTTTGTAAGTAGAAGCACATGAGTAGAATTTTAACGAGTGAATGCTTGAAGGTAAATACGGGTAGTGTTTAGTCAAAATAAAGTATAAATATATTATCAATTTCGCAACATTATTATTTTTATATATTGTACAGCATTAGAAATAAACGATTTTTGCAAATTACTCGTACGTCTGTCAATACTATTATTCTGGTACCTCGTTATAGTTACAACAACAGTAACAAACCCAAAACGCAGAAAGTAGCTCCATCATTCCATATTAGAAAATTAGTTTGAATAAAGCATTAAGAAAGCAATTAAGAAAAGGATAGAAAGAATCAGAACTATTGAGTCAAAATTCTGACTTAATAGTAAATATGTTTGAGAATTATTAACATCGAGGTATGTTATATTAACGCATTGATCGATTGTGTGGTTTTTTTATAAATGATTTAAAAATGGATTCTATCCAACATTTAGATTTTGAGAGTAGCTATAGACTAGTAGTTAAGTGAATATTGGTTCTTCATGTGAAATAGAAGCCATTGCATGCACTCACATAAAAAAATTCAGGTTGTAATACTCTGATGCTATTGAGGGAATAAATTCTTTTATATATTTATGGATATAAAATAGTAGGTAAAATATCTGACGTTTAATATCGTCGATGTGAGTATAGTGAATAAGCGAAACAAGAATCATTTAGTCATTTATCGAAATGGTAATTTACCAACATACACGATATTTTGAATAGATACATAAGGAATAATCTTGAAAAAAAAATGTAAACATTGATTTGTAAAACTGAAAATGTACGATTTTTAATTATATGGACGTGAATATGTCTTATCCAACACTATTATTTGGGGATATCAAAAGATAGGAGTGTAACATTCTGGTTTTTTTAATATGGATTTTTTTTTATTATAAGTTCGATAATGGCATTTCGCTGACGTATAATTGATATATAGGTGAACGCAGGTGTATAATGAATAATTTATGAATATTTATGTATATGTATGTAAAATATGAGAAACTCTGCAGCTTTTATTAAAAAGCTTTAATATTTTTTAACGTTATTTATTACATTATAATAAAAATATAATATATAAAATAAAATTATATAATTTCCAAGTTGTGAAGCTCTAAAAAGTTTTAACCTAATCGTTACAACGCAAGGGATAAACAAAAGAGATGTTGCTTTATTCATTATTAAAATTTCTATCTTTTATGTTTCTGATTCTAATAGGCCGTAACCCATTGCCATACATATGATGGTACTACAATCTTTTCATGACAATACTAGCCCAGGTTGAGTGTATATTTTTCATTGTTTTTTTAAAGTGTATATGGCTTTTGCTGTTTTATATATCCCACCTTTCATTGTGGAGATTTTTAAGAGGTTTCTGTATATATAAAATTTTAGAAAAGATCTAAAATTTTTGGGGACCCTTCGCTTACCGACTTAACCGAGTTGTCATCCTGCAAAAAAAAAGGGGACAATCAATTTCAAAGAACTGTCAGATTGGTTTACCTTTACTGATGGAGAAATCGTTGTCTCTCGGCGTTGATCGTATGCTGACCATCGTATGTATGAACAAACGCCAAACCTGTGGTACCACAACGAGCCATTATTTGAGCTCAAGTGGGCTTTCTTGGGTACAAGACCGCCACTTCAACCTAAACTTCAGTATATCGTTTTGTTATTGATGTGCCAACTAATCAGCACTTTTGGTTTACAATAAATAAATATACACAATTGTTATATTAATTAAAATGAGAGACTTTCATAATCTTTATTTAAAATAAATATTTAATATCTTAATAATACATCAATCATTAAATATAAACTAAAGTATTGAAATATTAATTTCTTAGTTTTAAAAGTATAAACAAAATTGAATTTGCTTAAAGTAATAATACCATATAAACAAATACTTTTAATCGACTTTTCATTTTCAATTGCAATTAGTCTTTTTTTTTTGTTTTTATTTATATATAAATGTATTTTGAGGCTACTTAGAAACTCTAATTATTGATAGCGGTATTCGTAAATCCGAGTAATATCGGTAACCGATTAAAATAGTAACATTGCAATGCAGCAACAACAAAACACATTTCGGGTCAATGTATTTTGTTATTACCGGTTTGAACTGTTACTAGGCAATTATTTACCGAGCGCTTACTTGAGACCCTGAATAACATTTAAATTATATCTTATATATTGGGTGTAGTCGTTGAAATTTCAAATTTCTTAGGTACTCTAAATTTCATTAGCAAATAATGCTTTATACTAATTATTTATATTTAAGTAATTCTTTTAAAAATAGTTTCTGACATATCGGTGAAACGGTCCTTCTCACCAATACTTTTAGGCATATCAATTGTTATATCTTCGATTTGTTTACTTTCTGTACTTTCTGAAGTTGTTTCGGCTCCAGAACCACTTGGCTGCGTTACCACAATAGTTGATACACTATTATCACTGATATTCTATAAAAATAGAATTATTATATGAATTATATATATATAAATCATTTCACAAACTCACTAAATTTTGGTTGATATCGATATTTTTTGTTGATTCTCCGGGTGTCCATGATATATCCGAAATAGTTTCATCATCTGCATTGCTTTCGCAACAGCAACAATCGCCTGAGTAACGTTTAAAAAATGGTAAATGCATTTTTTTTTGTCAATTATTAGTTTTTTAACAATTTTTATTTATTTATTTAAATATTTTTAAATTGAACTTAAGGTTCTTCTTGAATATTTTCGCACCAAACACTGACAGTCGTTGTTGAATACAAAATGCGATTTATTTTCAATTTTTTTGCCTTGCGCTAATTTGAATTTGTCATAAGCCAACGCAAAATACTTATAGATATTAACTATATATGTTTTGAGTTGCTTTGGTATTTGTTGGTACTGGTACGTCTTATCAGTTAAAACATTGTTAATGATATATTCTTTGATACTTCATAAATGATTACTAATCAGTGCTTGTACCGTAAGCATGTGGTAGTACTGTGAAATATGGTTTAAAGACTATAAATTCTTTTGCTTTTATGGTTTCAATATAATTACGGGTACGGTTTGGTTCGAAACACAGCATTTGAAAACATTTCTTTAAAAAAAAACCAGATGTAAACAACAAAATCTTTTCTCTACTTTTTTTTTTTTGCAATTTATAAATGATACTAACTTTAACCTTTGTAATACAAATGTTTAATGAAAAAGAAACAACGAAAAACAGAAGTAACACTAATTCCTTTGTGAAGATATTGTCAACACCTAGTTTTCTCTTCAATTAATAATAATAAGAAAACAATTAAATTTTTTTACCGGTCCACTAATAGTTTTTGAAAAATGCTTATGTTGATTCGATATTATCAAAAATGTAGATGTTATGTTATCAAAATATTGCAATATAAAGGAGTAAAGAAGACCAGAGAAATTTTTAAAAACATTTGTTGTTCTTCAAGGTCTTCAATTTGTATAATCGAGAGAAACGACAAAAAATTAAAATAAATTGTGGTCGGTAAACATCTTGGCTTTGCTTAAAAGAGAATACACATGATTTTAACATCTGTTCTTCAGACTTCAGTAGATGTTGTTGTTGTTGTGATTAGTTCCTTTATCTTATTGAGGAGTTAAAGGCCTCAGACTTCAGCAGATATAATAGAAATATTGTTTTTGCTGTTTGAACATATACCATTCCATGGCGACACCAACTCAGTTAAATTTTTCGATAACCTAACGGAAAATATCCTATTAAAGTAGTCAGTCGCATCTATTTGTCATCTATTTATTGACGATAGGTGCTTCGAGATGTAAACTTTTTCGTCTGTAATCATATTTTAAATGTGACATACATCGCATAATTTGTTCTAAATGAATTAAAATATTTTTAAGAATATAATCCATCCAAACGTGCTTTTTATACATAATCAAACATGCCTATTGTGATGCTACACACACAGGTGTAACAAACAACAGGATGGAGGTCAGAAAAGGGGTCTACTGAAAAATTACAATGAAGTAGTCAACAGTTAAGATTTCCTTTTTATTTTGTCTTCATTATTTATGAACTCTTTGTAAATATATAGGCGGTCGATAAAGAGTAGTA